ACAAATGAGCTGAGAAGCTGATAGTTGATGGACGCAAGCTCTTGTAAATCGAATGGGCTAAAAAAAGCCACTAGCTAATGGGCTCAAAGGCCAATAGTATTTTCTGATGAAATGATAAGTTTAAAAGCTGATAACATATTTCCGAGTCTTCCAAGCCAAGGAGTTAACAAACTCTTGAGACCTGTAAGAATTCATTCTAAACATAGAACTTGACAAGATACCATTGGTTCATCAATAATCAATAATATATGAGATGCATCAACATTAAAGTGGCACAATAATTTAGAATTAAATATAAATGTCTATGGCATGAGTCATCAAAATGAACAATAATAAGATATGAATATTTAAAATATACTCAGGTTGAGTTATTCAAGCAGCAAATTAAATGCATGCAAGTAAAGTATAGAGGTTTATGTTTATGTATTCCCACTCCCCCTCTCAAAGAGAGATTTATCTCTTTAAGTTAGAACTAATAACAAAGACCACTAGCTCATGGATACCATTAGCTTGTAAATTATTCCATCATTTGTAGGAGGCTCCACAAATGTATAAATAAATGTCATTTAAGCCACTCACTTTTAGTTAAAACATGAAGAATATATTATATTCAATATATTCAATAAATAGGGGCTTAGCATATCTTATTGATGAATGGCCCATGAGAGGTGGAACACGATAGCTGGTGAAATGGCGAGCTGGTTGCAAGCTAGACTTGAGCTCAACTGTCATAAGGATGAGCTCAAGCAGGTGAGTTCATGTAAAGTTGTTTACCTCATCCAAATGGAAGGCCATGAGGATGAGCTCAAGCGATTGAGCTCATCAGAGGTTGCTTACACCATGCAAGGGAGTTCACCTCGAAATGGGTTGTCATGAGGATGAGCTCAAGTAGTTGAGTTCATTCTAGGTTGCTTACTCCATCCAAGGGAGTTCACCTCGGAATGGGTTGTCATGAGGATAAGCTCAAGTAGTTGAGTTCATCCGAGATTGTTTACCTTATCCAAGGTAGGTGACCTCGGAAAGGACTATTATGAGGATGAGCTCAAGTAGTTGAGTTTGTCCGAGGTTTACCTTATCCAAGGTAGTTGACATCGGACTACCATCACACTATTCCCCCTCTAGGAGTCATTCACTTGTGAATGATATGGAGGTTATGTGGGTAGGGGGTAGTCTGAGCTAATCCGAGGTCTTTTGCCTCATCTGGGGTCATTTGCCTCGTCTGGGGTAGTTCACCTCGGACTAGGCTGTCACAAGGATGAGCTCAAGCATAGGCTGAGTTCATTCGAGGTTGTTTACCTCATCCGAGGTTGTTCACCCGATTATCATGAGGATGAGATCAAGCAGTTGAGCTCATCCGAGGTTTACCTCATCCAAGGTAGTTCACCTCAGAATGGGTTAGCACGAGGATTAGCTTAGATAGTTGAGTTCATCCGAGGTTTACATCATCCAAGGGAGTTCACCTCGGAATGGACTGCCATGAGGATGAAATCAACCTAGTTTATGAACTTGTTTAAGTTCCTAAGTCAGCATATGAAGTTCCTATTGTTAAAGTCCAAGGCTGACCATATTATATGATAAGGGTACAGATATATACGCATATTTCTTAAGTTCAGTGTCACAGTTAATAGTTGTAATTAAAGTAAATTATGAAGCTGCACTTTTTAATCATAGGTTCCTATTAGAAGTCATAATGATGACTCTTCTCCCCCTTTAACCCGCACATTTGGGGCTGGTAAGCATAAACGTTGCAATCATGAATTACATTATTTGCATTTTTATGCTTTAACATGTCTAATAAACAAGCAGTCATGCATGTTGTAATAATAAGTCTT